GAAGCAGAAATATGGTGCTGATGAATATTCCCTCACCATAATCTCGGTCCTACGTGCAATCGTTTGTGATGTCGACTTTCGGCTCCACCAAAAGATGACTATCTCTTATCGAGGGATCTGCTTTTCCGCTAAGGCTGTTATTGGACGGGGACTTCCTAAGGTTACAGTCAGTGACTTGTGTTTGCTTGCGATTGTGCGCTCTCTGCGTACTCATGACACATGGCGTTGAATGTACATTTTTGCTATTTAATCTCACACCAGACCAATTAAGACTGACAATTTTGGCCCGATGTGAGAGTCTTGGTTGCGCTACCGCTTACCGCGCCTTGAAGAACGTTCAACGTTGTTTGTCGTTTCTTCGGTTGTTGGTCTTCATACGCGTGTTTCCATACCAAAATTTGCACGTACGTTGGGATTCATCTAATCTGACTTAAAATTTTGGGGACATGAGACGTTTCTCACTTTTATCTTATATTCTCCTGTTACCCTTTGGCATTCGTCGTTTGTATTCACTATTCATGTTTGTGACCACTGTGATAAAAAATAAATGACATTAGAAATTGAGCTGACTGCGGCGGCGTCTTCTAAATGCGTTCGTGATTTCACGACATTAGGTAAAAATTCTGGGTAAGTAATCAAATAGCTTAAACTTACATAAGGAGAAAAGCAACTTCATTATATTATGAATAATAGTACATTTTCATCTCTATTTCTCTCAAACTTACCCTGAATAACTTTTAAGTTTGCAGAGGAGAAAGGGCAGAGTAGTCACATTAAAGAGTTAGGCGGGATTTTCGAATGACGAAGTGAGTTGTAGTTCGCAGCTGATACATTAGATTTCGACAATCTCTAAGATTCACTATACGGCACGATAAACCCTAGCCGGTATCATCGGCTCTAGAGACCTCATTGAAGATCAGAGAGGTTGAAACCGTGGTCTTAATTTTACCGTAAGCTTCCGTTATCACCTCAAATGATGATGTAATTTTTACATTTGTGGAACTGACTTCCATTATTCCTGTGCCGTAGAGTTCACAGCCACACATCATGCGAACGAAGTGGCCTTGACTGGTTCCTCCTGTGGGGACTTCACAATCTGAAAACACCAGTGGACTTCCTTGGGAAGTTATTCATCTTTCTAGTCAAAAACCATCTTCAACCTTAAACGGGGACAACTCATGCGAAGCTTCAATTGTTTTAAAATGTCCTTCAGTTGGTTTTATTTTCCTTCATTACGATAGAATTAAGCCTTTAGAAAATGCAAAGAAATTTTCGCATTGTAATGTGGACAAATTCAAATGGTCACCATAACTTACCGAATCCTGTTGAGTTCAAGGGATATTCGGGATGAAGTCATCCAGTACAACGTAAGGAAACCAGGCAAAATCAATACACGATTGACTCTACAATTGTTCCTTGTGGTTGATTCCGCGAAACCGAAGCCACGGCATTCTCGTTTAAATCAACAATGGTTATTCACTTACCATGTGATTCGCCTGAAGCCAAAAATTTAAGATGGCGTCATTGTAACCATGTTCAAGGTTCATTTTAGAAGCATGGTTTTGTTAGGCACGGGTAAGCTGGTACACATCTTGTTGTGGTTTAAGGCGGACAAAGATGAGTGCTCACCAGTTAATTTCAAGACACTAGCAGAAAGATCGCCTATTTATACCAAGAGGCCGCTTATATAAACTAGCCTCTGGTCGTGACTTGCTTGAGAGTTTTTCCAGAAATTTCCGTCGTACATCCTCATTGAATGAGTAAGTTGTAAGACATTAGTAGGTAATTCAAATCCTTTTTTGTTGGGTTCAATAACACATCACACGTTTGTCCATAAAACGAAGATAAATAAGTGTGTCTGTTGGAACTTCCTGAAGAAATCGTCTGTAATAAATTGCATGAAACGAAAAGGTGCTTTTATTAGGAGAACCAGCTCCGAAAGTAACGGGACTATATAACGGAATAACCGCTTCCGTTGAGACAGATTTGATTAATTGTTCTATACTCGTCTTTGAGAGATCAGGGGTTTTCTTAGTATCACTTTTGTTTTGATCTGCTTATACGCGACAGTGATCAATAGATCAGCCGGTTCGCACGTTTATTGACTTTTCCTGGTTTGGCCAAGCGCACCAGGCTGTCACTTGGCCAACCAGACCGGGGTTCATGGTAATAAGAAGGAGACTGTGGTCAGTGGATGCCTTCGTTGGCCAAGCGCACCAGGCTGTCACTTGGCCAACCAGACCGGGGTTCATGGTAATAAGAAGGAGACTGTAGTCAGTGGATGCCTTCGTCGTACCTGCCTGAATTACTGCACCTGAAAAGGTGCATAATTCCCCAATAGGAGACATATAAGCCTAGGCGCCCGGAGGGTGAAGACTGTCCTGTCCTGATTGTATCTATTAATTTAACCACCACTCAGAGTATCCCAATAAACAAGAGCCACAAACACCAAAATATGCTGAAGGATTCCTCTCAATACGTGGATTTGTACAAACAATTGTGTTACGACGATTCCTCGTGAAGTGTTGCACTTGTCCTGGGAGCTATTCAGTGCATTCGGGCTATCAGACTACTTTGCTGATTGCACGAAATGGTAAGTACCTCAAAGTTGTCGTCCGGAACGGGAAAAAGTAATTACTATCAGATAAGTTCTAATAAAAAAAATCTCCAATCAACTTGTTTCGAACAAGCAGAAAAATAGCGGGGGGCAGAGACTGCTAGAAGTAGAAAAGTGTGTTTGCAGATTTCACCAGTCTTGAGAGTAGACAACGTTCTAATTTATACGTATCGTATTTGCAAGAAGCCCCCAGGTAAGCTGTTTCGTAGACAGAATTACCCAGGAAAACAGCCAAGGTTTTTTGAGGGTGTTTTTTATTCCCTACCATTTTGAGTTTTAATCACATCCAATCTCTTTGCGAACATTACACAAGTCACTCACACATTTGAGTAGCTTTAGCAGAATGCAATAATTAGAAACACGGATAAGAAACTTGACGAATGCCATTTTCCGAAAATTTGGACAGTAAATAAATGTTAGCACGTTTATGAACAACAAGACAAATGAGACAGCTAGAAATACAAAAAATAATCAAACGAGTGAAGAAGAAATAATTCGAATACGGCTTCATTATATGAATATGCATGAAAACGTGGTTGCATACAGTACTCGTGAACTGAAAACTGTCAACAAACATGTTTTTCGTTCACAAAAATTAGTGAAAATTTTTGTGAATATCCAATAAATAAGGTGTCATGGAGGTGAAATCGGACTTATCGGTTTCGCAAAAATTTACTCTCATTTATTAGTAGCTTGGAATCGTAACGTAATTGGGCTTCTGGATGATTGAACAAGGTCCTTATAGTAGTGCGCAGCTGCATATCCCGATCTGCAGGAGAAACAAAAATGTTGAAATCCAAACTTGCCTTTACGTGGGAATTGAGGTTGTCGATTCCTTGTGGTGAAGACTCTGGGAATCTCATACTGATGTATTCATCAGTGATTTAAAAGGGCATCCAGTGGCTAGAGAAGCCTTGTGATTGGCTTGATATGATTAATTTTGACAAACATGTTGACCTTTCTCTCTGCGTATGCCCGGAAACTTTGTCATTCCGGTATGGGCAGCTGTTTGAATCGGTTCGGTATATTTGCATTTCCTGTTTGCTGGTGACTACTTTAGTATAAATCAGATGAATATGTTCAGCAGCACCAACGTTCTCACAGAACGCTAATGATACCGTTGTTGTTGTCATCTTGATAATCGAGGTAGGCATAAGGAAATGGAGCAAGTAAAACTTTGAAAAACTTTGCTACAATCCAGGCCACTTGAATACCTCGCACCCTGAACAGCTGGATGCTCCCGAATGTCTGTGAACAATGGTTCAAAATACCACTTGCAGGTATGATTCAAACGCTGATGAGGACGCATCGCGGAGTTCTTCTATTCAGCCGGTAGGAACATGGTCATGTAATTATTATTTTCGAGATCTGATGGAGTTCAGCAGCAGCAAATACAAAGAACTTCTTGAAGATGGAAGATCATTTTCATGGAACATTCTGGACATTCAGCAGTTATGGGGCGATTGTCCAAACAAGCTACCTTCTGGTTCAACATCCACGTGTTTTTAGGCGAAGGCTAGCATCGCATTATTTTACAATCGAGAGAGTCAACAATACCATAATCAACAAAAACATTTGGGGAACTCAGCTAGCTGACTTGCAAATGGCAGTCGCCTAAGCGGGATATTGTGCAAAGGCGGGTATTATTGTCTTCGTTCGGAAAATACTGAGGACGTTTTGTGTCACAAGAATCATCCTAAAAAGTAAGCACAATGAAAAATCTTGGATCTTAGAAGAATATGCACGCTAGAATATTTCATTTTTGGAATAAGTTTAGCGTTTCTGGTTACACGTGCCATTCTTTTCGTTGTTGTTATGCTCGTGAGCAGCAAGTTGATAAGTAAGGATTTGTCCTGTAGATGATGCCAATCCATGTTAAATAAGACGACAACCATTTTGCAGCACCCTTGTTCTCGTTGCGTGCCATCAGCAATGGGCATCTCAAGAATTTTGTGGAACGCAAATCTCAACACAGGGCTTATATAGCAAAAGTTGCACTTGTTACTTCGCTCTATACTCTTCTGCTGGATAAAAAATATCAGTCAGAGTTGGCATCAAAAGAAACACGTAGCACCATTTAGACAAGTACTAGACGAGTCGAGCCCAAGTGGCACAGCCAATCGATCGACTGCCTCCAAAAACTGAATGGTTTACGTGTAATGAAAACAGTGCCTATTCTTTTGCACAAGTGACATATTAATTTGGCCTAAAATGCGAGCGATGTATGCTCATAAAATGATAGTTTTCCTATTCTACTGATGACCAATATCTTTATCCAACAGTTGCTCCTATGGGATTGAACTCCACCTCTAGGTGAAATTCTTTAAGCTACATGGTAGAAACAGTTGCCTGACAACTTCTTATTACACCTCAGTGGGAAGCACAGTCCTAGGTAGCAAAGCGGTTGAGGCCTTTCAGCCTTTTATGACCATTCCGGCGTCAAGCATGGCAGATAAGCACCGAAATAATACGCGGGCTAAACTATTATCACTTCTCTAAATACTGGAGGGTCTAGCCTCCAGGCTGATATTTTGGCATTTCAATTAAATTTTTTAACTCAAAGGCCCAACCCAATCTTCGGGTTTTAGGGCTTGATCATGATTCCAATTGAGATCGATTATAAGTTTTCTAAAAATTTGGTTCGTTGGTCAGGAGGCACTGACGTCCAAAGATAGCCACGGAAATATCTGTGGTCCCTGTTTCTTAATCAGAATGAAAGCTAAGGACATGCCAACTAAAATACTTCTTTCCTTCTTTGTTTCAGGGTTTCCGATCGAAAAGGCCATCAAAATATGGATTCGAAAGGCTGCCAGATCACCCTTACGCAAAGTCCCGGCTTTTGTCAAATTCCACATAAATATTGCGATCCCAGACTACAAATATCTAGTTTTCAGTCAATTGCTTTTCCACAGTATCATTCATTCTAACCTTTTCTGCATTCCTGGGGAAAAACATTCCTAGAAAAACAAGCAGCGTTACTTGGCTAAAACCACACTCTCCAGTGAGCGTAACAGAATTCGACGTCGCAGTTTAGTGGACTTGCGAGCATCTAACTTCAAAGTAATTTTGCTCTGCGGAAGTGATATTTTTCACGCGCGCTGTGCGCTTCGTTTGGAGATACGACTTAACTTCCTCGAGTGCTATGAATTACGTGAATGTCCAGCACCGCGTTATTACTGCGTTTTTCACAAATAAACATTGTAAAGTTCCAGCCAAAGTGTGCAGTTATTTATTTATAGAAAATCTCCACTGGTCCAGCTAGGTCTTGCAAACAAAACTATGTGCACCGCATTTGTTAATTTTGACGAAATTAACGCCAATTCCCCGTAGTTCTCATTCAAACAATTTAGTTTGAAAAGGTTGACTAACGGGTTAAATGATGAAATGTTTATGATGTTGACCGATAATTTACAGGAATGCTTAATTATTGTGTTGTCTACAGTAACCTGCTGTTTTTCTACCTTCTCAAGGTTGCTAGGTACCCAACCGAAATTTTCCCAATAATCAAGTTTTTTTTCCTGAGCCCATGGGCTTGTGCTGCGCGCCTTGCATATCCAGGTAAATCTATTTTTCTGTTTTGTGTAGGCCGTGTACTTCTATGAATTTCTACCACATTCTATTGATTTTCACTAATTAATCGAAGGCTCAGTCCGTTTTGTTACCACCCTTATTCTTTCCAGGGACTGCGGACTTTAGACAGATAGATAGATGGACATTAGATATCATAGTATCATTCTGTTATCACCATTTAATAACAACTGTAAGTTGGAACACCTATTGAAAAATTTTAAATCTGTCTGTGATACGGTACTGCATACAAAAAGTACTGATGCAATCTGCAGTGCTGCTGATTTTTTCATCACTGTCACGTAAACGTGTCTCAAAATAAAATTGATACTGAGAATACAACTCATCTGTCAAGGACGTGTGAAGAATAACCAATGAAATCTTTCTGAAGGAAAACGGTTATTCCATTGGTTGTTATATTGTCCCGTTACATTCAAGACTGGTTCACCTTACAGTTTTAAGCTTATGCACCTTCCATGACCATCACCCAACTATTTGCATTTTCGAAAACATTTATCTATATCAGTAGTATTGTTCTGCTGCACACTGGATAAAACACGGTGGAAAATAGTATCCTGGAACCTAAGGTTGGGAGCACATTTTATGGAACAAACATACGATTAGCTTATTAGAGTAACAACAAAAGCTTTCCAGTTCAGCTGACAGAGTCAGTCAGAAATGACAGTAGGTTAACCCGACATATTGGCTCTGGAGCTGGTGGCGAAGGTAGCCAATTAGCTGACGTTAGGTCGGTTACCAACTTCAAGTGAATTACTTAACAGTTTTTTTGTAAAGAGCGAAATGCCAAATAAACGATCAAGAAATTTCATCGTCCCCATTTCTCGGCTTTCTTTCAAAGCACATCGACGGCATCACCGTTCCATAACTTTTGCGCAAGGATATCATCAGGGTTGTTAATTGAAATTCTAGACTTGCGGCACCTTAGAATAACTCCAAATCTTACGATTTAATCCGGCACCCGGGTTAAATAATAATTGGGAGCTTACGTGCTTCGAGCTCTAAGTTCCGGAGATGCAGTCAAATGAATTTTGCTGACAGTTGAAAGTTTCACACATTTCCTGTCTTATATGGTTTTCAATAGTCTGGTGCTAATAAGCTTAAGTGTACTTAGCACAATGCTTCAGCGTTGCAGAATAAGCGCCACACCATAACTGCGACTTGGAGAAACGCCAAACAAGGCGTCCGCGGAGATTTGTATAAGCAACACGCCCCAACAGAAAAAATAATCATTTTCCAATGAACTTCCTATGCACAGAAATAACTGGTTAATTGTTTCATTACCACTTACTGGAAATAATAGCTTGACAAGGAGAAGTTTCATAGAGATATATAGTTCCTTCCCTCACCATTCATCGCGTAATTAAAAGCGGTGAATGTCAAACGATTTCGAAGTTAAAAAACAGTCGAAAATCTCACACAAAGCTTTTAAATACTTAGTTGGTTACAGATGAAATGGAAGGGGACTCCAGTGCGGAAAAGACTAACTGAACTTTTACAGAATTCTGGACAGGGAAGCGAAAATTTGATTATAAAAAGTGTACATTCATATTCCTTCAACCGTCTCTTCCTGAACTTTCCTGGATACTAATTAACTATCCTTCAAATTCAAACGAATACCGCAAAGCAATTCCACGAAATTTTGTAATAAATCTTACTTTCCTTTCAACGCCAAGGGGATTTATGTGAAAATCACATATTACTCGCATGGTTCATCAGTAGTATTCACCGTTACACCGGAAGGGTACGTTACTCAGGCCGAATTCAGTGATGGAATTAGGGTTGCTCAGCTTAAGTATGTCAGGCCAACCGAATGCCTTACTGCACTTGAAAGACACGCGAAATTTTATCCTACATTTCGGGTTGTTTATCATCGAAGAAGAACGCAAAAGGTATCATTCAACGGAGCACACTTTGCAGTTGCATTATTACCTCTTATGAGACAATCTGGTCAAGTTTAATTGGTGTATCCTCCCGCTTTACACCTTAATCGCAGAGCAGGAAAGTTGCAACAGTGATAAACACAGGGGCATTACCGTGAACTTTATAGATGTTTACTTTGATTTTGGATCCTGCAAGCCCAAGGGTCGGCCGCCCAGAACCACGGGTCACTGTCACTACTTATGGCATGTAGTATGGGAACGCAACTAGTCAGAAAACTGCCATAAAGGCTGGATAACTAGATTAAAGAGTGTATGCTCTGAATGTTTCACTGAAATTCCTTACGAAACTTAGCATTCAACAATCTCCTTTGGACAAAAAACAGCTTTTCAGTTTGAGAACTTTGCTTAACCTGTAAGTTAGTTTACTAGACACATGCGAGTATACCAACGGCAAATATGTTTATCACTTAAGCCAAACGCTGATACAAATATTTCGGCCATTTTCGCGCACATTAATGGAATTCTGATGGCATCAATAGAATTTAAGTGTTGATATCGGTGAAATTAACATGTATGTTCTCCTACATGTTTTTCTTCGCACAATAAATCGTTTTTTTAAATATGATGTCAAAGTGTATCTTCCATCAAACTTGCTGTCCAATGTAGGTTTTTTGATCTTGACTCCCTACATGTATCGTAAACATGGGTTTGTCTGCAAACACGCGGAGAATGAGACTGAGAGTACGCTGCTTTCGGAAGTTCAGGCATGAAAGTCTCGGCCTGACAACAAGCCATCGGCATACATACCATACAAGGATGGTTATTCACTTTGCGGTCAACAGGAAGTTTGTGCAACCGATCCTTCAACGCGTTTTATTTTGCCCGGCAAGTGGATTTTCACCACAGACCAAACACACGCTCAATGAATGTCCAGTCATTAAAACTTCTTACCTGATTTCGTCGTTTTGCGGGACGTCGAGTTCACCATTTTCAGGATAGTTTACGATTGTGAGTTTACCAACAACAAACCTAGACTGTGTGAGCCGGTTCATATTCTGCATTCGTAAAACTGACAGCCAGTTTTTTTAGAAATAGACAATTTAATAATACTGCAAAACGCCTCACGAATTTCTGCGCTGCTTGGCAAATTATGAGATAAATCGACGCAATTAGGAAGAGCGAGGTCACACGAAGCTTCAAAACCCACCCTCAAGGTCTGTTGGGTAAATGTGGATAGTAGATTTCCATCAAAATCAGAGGTAGTCAAAAATTTATTTGAGACAACACCAAAACCTTATTCCATGCAAGATGTCACATGCATGCGTGCGTCAATATTTCTACTCGGAGTGTCAGCTACATCAGAGCGACGTTTAATTTGCCAACTTTTGAACACCGTACAATGGTTAATGATAAACGGTTCTTCAGTCATTTTCTCTATTGATGCGGCTTACGAAGCATCAGAGTTGAACACAAATCCAATCATCAACAGGGAGGCATTCACTTAAGTTGTTTTATTTCACATAGGTAGCGTGGTTTGCCAGAACCTACCAGAAATGAGATAATTCCGCCTTCTCTGCGACTGATGGTTGAGTTACGGATTGCCACCTCTGTCAAGCCGCAATTTGCCACTGTCTTAGCTTCTAAAGTGCAAAGCATAATTTTATCGCAAAACTCAGCTTCAGCGAATGGCTTGAAACAGCTACCCACTACATGTGTTGAGATAAAAATGCTCACAGGGACACCATTTATGCTTATATATATATATATATCTTCTTGTCCAATCCTCTGGATTTGAATCTCTAAAAAATAGTAGAACCACCTAGTTACTCTAGAATAGCCCCTATTCAAGCTCCACCATCATTGCGACATTATGAGCCAGAGCAATGTTAGAAGAACCAGCTCCGAAAGCAACGGCACTATACAGCAGCCAATGAAATAACCGTTCCGTTGAAATAGATTTCTTTGGTTGTTCTTCACTTGTCCTTGACAGATGAGTTGTATTCTAAGTATCACTTTTGTTCTCACCCACGTTTACAAATCACTGCTCAGTAGATCAACCGGCTGGAAAATTCATTGATTTTCTCTTGTTTGGCCAAGCGCACCAGGCTATCAATCGGCTATCCAGACTGCGGTTCACGGTGCTAAAACGGCATTAAGGTGATTGTGGTCTACAAAAACTACTCATGTGAGGAACGTCTTAGGAAAAACAAGCCGTCTTGTCAAAAGCAACGCCATAATTGAATCGCTTACCACTCAATCTTTGACCTGTTTAGGCAAGACAAAATATGTTCAACCTTATATTGTGAAGCCCTCAAAGATTAATGATACTCCCACCTCAATTTCATTAGCAAGGATCTGCCTCAGATGGCTGAATTTCTGTCTTTTTGGCGCAAATGCAAAAATCAGTCTTTATGGAGA